ACAATGATATGAAATGTCAGCGTGACCTTTTCAGATGCAATAGTTTTCATGAGTATTGTACAAGTATTAGAAGCTTCATCTCTGATTACAGTTAAAGGTTTAGGTAGGTTTTACCTGGCAGATATTGATTGCAGACTATTACTGATTATTGACAGGACTCTGATGTGTGTCTCCATGTTCTTCAGAAGAATAACAGTGCTGGGTTGGGTCCAAAATTGGAATAAGCCACATTTATAACTGACTTGAGCAACATGAGAAAAAGTATTCTGATAAGATTTCATGACAAATTCCAGGACAAGAGCAGCTTTTGTGTGATCTCCACTACAACAGAAACCTCCTGTGATTATCTGCCATATTAGTTCCAAACCCTAACCCTGAGTCGGTCTTAAATCTGAATCCCTAAACAGATTCCAAATTCAGATTCAACTACCACTTTTTCAGCTTTTCCCTCTTAAGCACAAATTATGAGACAAAGATTTTTGTGGATAATATCTTTTACTGGATCAACTGGATAGTTGGGAGAGATTTAGACAAGCTTTCAGACACAACATACCCTTCCTCAGGAATTTCTCAAGTCCCCTGTAGAAGGGTAATTTGTGCCTGAAAGTTTATCTAAATCTCTCCCAACCATGGCATTAGTCCAAAAAATGCTAACACTCACAATAATCCTTGCCTCTTGCATGTTAACAACGTCACTCCAACACTACTTAATAACAAATTGTTTTTCTTTAGGAAATAAAGTATTTTCAGCATGACAGCATGAAGTGCATTTCAGGTATGATTATGACTGCTTAAGCTAACATTTGCAAACTTGGGTACCTATCTTAAGCTCCCAGGTGTCCCAATATTAACAATAGCTGAGCCTCCAGAATTTAGGCTATTTCCCCCTCAGGTGATACCTCTTTATGTATTATAAATAATGAACCAGCTCTCCAAATCAGGGTCCCTTATTTTCCATTATAAATAAATAATTGGTTGATTTTGTTTGGATTTTCCCAGATTTAAAACTATTTTCACCTCTCCTCTTTTACTCATTGGCCACTAATTAATATGCTTTCTGGCTTTGCTAATACCTTATCAGCAAGCTAAATATAAATTAGTTGCATATTACTGAGTACCTAATTGTTCATTTCCACTGGTGGCTTTGCATTACTATTAATACCTAGTTTCTATTTCCTAGTTACTGATTAATTCCTTGCACTTCCCTCACCTTAAAAATACTGACAGTTTCCTTCAATAACCTTCACTCTACATTTTATTTTATTTATGACTTTCATAAGGAATAGTCAGCAGAATATGTAATGTATGTCAATGTCTAAAATTCAGAATAGTTGTATCTGCTTGCAGTTATTCCCAGAAGACAGTTTTAGTGCAGTAGCTTCAGCCATCTTATGATTTCTCTTGAGGGACCACAAGAAATCAAATATCAATCATACCTGTAAATTCTTTTTTGCACCGGTCTCTGACACTTTCTTCCAAGCCTTCAAGCTGTGACTTAATTTTTTCATATTCCCGTTCTGCTTGTTGGCTTTTTCGTCTTTGAGGAATAGAGGCAAGATTTTGAGAAGTTATAGACTGTATAAGCAAATCATTTGACAATGCATTGAATGGGAAGCCTACGGGATGACTGAAGGAATGGTGACCTAATCTTCAGTTGGTGGACACATCAAACTAACATCATAATGAACCTTTCTTATTTACTTCAGGTGAGGATCTGGTCCAGTGAATTTTTATTCAATAAATTTAATCTATAAGGGTTTGTAATCACATTTTTCAACATAAAAATTTCATGAGTAAGCTGACTGGATAGTTCAAAAAATGCCCTCCAGTGTATTCCACATTGGCTGCAGAGCCATGATTAAGACTGTACAAGCCCAGGATAGTGACACAGCAAGTTACAGGAGATCCAACAGAATGCATCTCAGTTGCAGATTTGCACTGTTAGAGTGAAACCACACTGTGCTGAGCACTAGCTTAAGGCCTCTAACCCGAACTCCTAACTCTCTGTGAAGATGAGAGCAGGTGAACCTGCTAGAGTATATACAGACACAGCTAACAGTTAAATGGGGCTATTTCCTGCAGCTTTTATTTTAAAGGGTGCTGGTTCTCCAGTCAGATACATGGAGAAAGGCACCCTTTGAAGCAAAACCCACAGCCAGCAGCTGAGTGGTTTGTCTTTAGTTTAGCAGCTACGAACTAAGGGTCCCTGTACAAGAGCGTGAAGGCTGCTCCGACATGCTGTGATTACAGAGTTGGAGCAGATTCGACGAATTGAGTCTGTTGGGAGTGCGGTAGTTACTGCGCTCTAGCAGCCTCCCACGTCTCATGCATCAGTGTCCCTGCACTTTAAAATGGCGATGGGGGTGCCTGAACTTATGCTCATTGAACGGGCTTTAGTTCATGCATCCTTGCTGCCATTTTGAAGTGTGGGGATGCTGATACGCAAGATGCTGTGGCACTTCAATTTGTGTCACCCCTGGCCACCCCCAGAGCACATGTAAAAGCATTACCCTCCCTGCCCCCGCAGAGCATGTGTGAAACTGCCCCAAGAAGTTTGTAAACCACTCGGATACAAACGATCCAGGTTCCTCTATACCACTGGTTCTCAACCTTTTTTGTACCAGGACCCATTTGTAAACATTCCTGGCCAATTTCGTCCCAGTGCCCCTCACTCCCGCTCCTCTGCCTCCCACCGCGTGAGGTAGGGGGTGGGTATGTGGGTAAAGGGGGCCCCCAGAGCATCCCTAAGCAGCCCCTCGCAGACTGGAACTCTTCCAGCCTGCAAGGGAAAGCCATGGTTTCCCACGTTTTTCTTCTTTAAAGGAGAATCCATTTTTAAAGTTGGACCCCTTCATATATTCTTGCAACCCACTTTTGGGTCACAACCAACGGGTTGAGAAACACTGCTTTATACTACTGTATACTATATAAGACCTCAACATAGGTCTAAAGATTTGCAGACTTTAAAGTGTTCTTCTACAAAGGGTGAATTTTACCATTAAACATGAGATCTGCATGTGGGTAATACTTGCCTTAGGTTCAGAGTGTCTTTTCAGGCAGATGCAACCAGAACTAAGGAATGTTGAGTATAAAGTACGCAGACCAGGCAATACTATCCCTTGGGTGAGGCATGCCCAGCTGCAATTCCAAATGAATGTGTTTGCAACTTATTCTTTAACTGTGCACTTGGAAATCCAGGGCCAATTTATTTGGGCTTCTAGTAGATTGAGAGGATCCTGGGTGGACGGACAGAACAGAATTTCGTGCAGGCTGAGGGAACTGGAACAAATTTTTTCCAGCTGCAACTAACACTCTTAAAATGTTATGTGCATTAAAGTGATCAAATCCATTTCTTTTTTCAGATAGGAACAGCCTACTTTTGTGCACTGCCAGTAGTCACCTTCAGAGCTTTGGGACACCAGTACTATCCGATTATAAAAGAACATCTTACCTGTAACAGTAGATGGAGATGCCAATAATAAGTAGCATAGGAAAAATTACTGCTGGCAAAATCAGGCTCAGTGGTACATCACTTGCACGTGTGTCATATTCCACCCTGCCTAGGATCCATTCTCTGAGACCAAATCTCACCTAGATAATTAAACACACACAAACTAGCCTCAAAAATGTACCAGTAGGCAATTAATTTATCAGCACCTTCCTCTAATTTTCAACCAATCTTTATAATCTAAAGAATTCCTAGACCAGGCTGCAAAATATGTAGAAAAGAATTTGAAATCTATTTTCTATTTGGGTAAATGTAGAAATTAATAGCGCCGTTTATAAATAGTGATTTATTCTAGGAGATAATGATCCTTATTACACAGAAGAGAAAACACCAGATCACTACCTATTAGAATATATATTATTAGAATACTGCTAGGCTATCATGGGACTAGTTATGGCAGGAAAACATTGCATCTAACTTGAATTGTTCATAGGACTGGCTTCCTTAGTAAACAAGAGAGGCCATTGCCAGGTGGGCCCTCTGTTTACAAGTAATTCCTTTACTGCGACAGGCAAAAATCTAGATGTAGAGAGAACTACAAGATGGTTTAACAAACATGCTAGGATACAAAGAATATATCTGTGGAGGAAGGAACACAGGAAGTGATTTTATCATAGTAACTCAAACACAATATGCCCATCTCTCTAAATCCACATATTATCAAAGACATCATGTAGAAAAGGTAACATACACTGAACTCAGGAAGGTTATTGACTGTATCCCTTTTCTGCCTTTTCTTTGGTTGAGGTTGCACTTCTGGTGGCTCACAATACAAGTCCTTTTCAGTTAGTGTTTTTATGTTGCAGGGTTCCTCACCCACAAATGCTTGAGCCTCATCTATTGTCATGGCTTTGTTCAGATTACTACCCTAGACAGAAAATATAATGCAAAGGCATAGGTATTTCAGACTCCTGTGTGGAAAACAGTTCACAAGTTATAAGTTCACTGTGAAGAGAAATTGTAATTCTGATGTTAAGGTGAAAGAGAAGGGCAGGAACAATAAGGTACCTGCCCCCTAACATTTTTCAGCATTGAAAAATAAATCTGTCCATTCCATGGAAACATATTAATGAAACTCAATTTGTAATTCCAATCTCAAGCAGCAGAGGGTAGCATGAGGAAATCTAAAGGATGTTAAAAAATGATAGGATATTTCTGAGAAGTAAGGAAAAAGATGTCTCAGCTGGTACTCACTATCTGACACTAGAAAATGTGCCAGCCATAGCATCAACCAGTTATCAACAGTAGGCTAATTTTTCAAGGATAAAAGGAAAACATACTATATTTTATGCATTATTATGATGATGAAGCAGATGATTGCTATGCTTGACTGGCTTACCTTTGCGTGAATAAGTTTGTTGACTTGTTTTTTAATGCCATCGGTGAAGTTTTCAAATGTTGGATCCGCAACATATGAAAAGGGAACATTGTCAATTTTTACAAGCAAATCATAGCCATCCATTTTTATAAGTGTAGTAATGTTATAGTTTTCTGGATCCTCTATGATTGGTAGAGAAGAGAAGACTATTGTGGTTTCATTGATTCTGGTGACAAGATCTCCTTTAAACTATAAAACAAAACACATTTGGGGGTTTGATTAAGCAGGACCTACAAAACAGATCACAGTCTGAATCATGTTTTCTCCATCACAAAGTAAATAACAGAAGAAGCATCACATACTTTTGAAGAAAATGAACGGTTGCTCAAGTCTAATCTAATGAGTTACATACAAAATGAAATCTGAGGTTTTAACACTTCTCAAATTGAGGGGAAAAAAAGCAATATCTGATCTTTGTGGTTTAGAACCAGTTTAGTATGGAGTAAAAATTTTAAACACATAACTGAAAGAGCGTATCTCCTTAGCCCTAACCCAAACTACCTATTGCAACCTTGGTCAGTTCACTTAACTTATCTTTGTTACAATTTATTTGTACTGTAAGAGCATTTTCAGGATTGGAAAGATTTCTGAATAAAATGCATAAGCCTCCAAATATCTAGTTACTTTAACTCTTAGCATATTGTATCTCTGACCTCTAATACCCTACTGCTAAGAATAATTATTTTCAGACATTCCATTAAAAAAATACATGCATCTAATAATACGTTAGTGTTTAAAAATCATATATAAACACACACATATATACACATTTCTATCTACACACACACACACACACACTACATACTACACATCTTTTCATCTGATGCATCAGGTGTTCACAGACACATTTGAATAATATAGTTATCAAATACTTTACTTTAGGATTCCTCTTCATTAGTACATATCATCATAAAGAAAATTGGCACCTATTTTGTTGATTTCCACAAGAAAGCCTGCCAGTCTTTCATGTGGGTGTGGCGAAGTGGGTTTCACTCAGGCTAGCTGTCGCTGGCCTCCCACCTGCCTCTGGGCACGCTGCCTGCCTGTCTCACGTGCCATGCCTTGTTGGAAATTAATAAGTTGTTAAATAAGGCAGAAGGCTGCCCATTTTTCTTTGCAACCCAATATTAGGGGGGTGTCCTTGGCTCCATACCATCCCTACATGGCGGCCCAAGCCTCACAGATGGCGTCTCAAGCACTTGGTTGGACCCTCGCCTTCACCCTATTAGCTGTGGCCCCCAAACATGAGGACCTTCGGCTTACACAAGCCCTGGCCTCATCTCAGGCCCAGTCGGGACCCTGAGCTCCCTCACTCATTATGGGCGTCCCTTGCGGTGGACCCCTGGCCCTTCGACCCTTAGGTCCTGGCCCCAGCATGGACCAGTCGAGTCCCTCAGTGGGGTCTTCCCCTCCTGCCTGCATTATTGGAGTGGGGTTCCCCCTATCCCTGGCTTAGGTGCTTAAGGGAGGGTGCCTGGCCCTACGGGGTCTCTCCCCTACTGGCTCAGGTGCTTCCCCAGAGCTTACCTGGCCTCTACTCCTTCCTTTGATCTTACAAAGCACACACCACGACTGGTGTTCCAGGGTCTCACGGGGTCTCTCACTCCCCCCAAAGAGCAGCAGGTCATTGTGCTCAGCCTTAGATGTTATTTCTACCCACCAGAAGGTGAGGGCTGGGGTTAAGGTGCCCCTACTCACCTTTCACTGGGTGGCATTTCAACTGGTCTGGCATTTCCTGGGGGCTCCTGTGCCACTGAGAGCCCCACTAGGCCACCCACTCCTGGCAGGGTGCAGTGTTAGGTCATGCCCAGGACCAGTAGCCTCCTGACCACCCCCTACAGCTCCTCCCTTACCTCTAGAACGATACCTGTGGCCTTGCAGCCAGGCAGTGTTGTTGCCTGGCCTTCCAGCAGCAAAATGCCCTGTTTTTATGGGCAGCCCTGGATCCAAAATGGCTGCCCTCATCAGGCACCTGCTGGCTGCTAGCTTCAGGCCCTTAAAATGGCAGGCACCAACAGTGCCCTGCCACAGTGAGGTAAGCAAATGAATTCACACCACACCTAGCATATTTTTGGTATGACCATAACATGAATAAATCAAAATAAAGTGATATAAAACTCTAAAATAGCAATGCCCAACCTTTTGGCTTTGCAGGCTGGATGAATAATGCAGGGCCAGTCTGTAGGTTGGATTCCCTGCAGGGCTGTTGCATGGTGTCAGTCCACAGGTGTGGCCCAGTGTCCCCAGATCTGGCCAAATGCCTGACTGGCCCCATATATCTGCATCTGGCTGTGCACTGATCCACGAGCAGGGTCACATTATTTGCCCACTGGGGTCCCCACATGTTGGGAGTGGGAAACTGGCAATTAATGCTACTACCATTCTCCCGCTGCCAAATTTCTGGCACTACGAGGAGCCCCACTGGCCAGATGACATGGCTCCACAGACTGAATTTAGTCTGTGGGCCTGAAGTTCAGCACCACTGACTTAAAAGAAACCAAAAATGTTGGTATATCAGACACATCATCTACTTTAAAAACCCTATGAGACCTACTATAATTTCTTGCATAGAACATGCCCTGGAACATATACACATCTTATTTTTCAATGGCAGAACGAAGAAAAATAGATTTTTCCAGTTGAGGCTGCATGGAGCAGGGACAGAGCTTAATCCACAGCTCACTCACTCTCCATTTCCTGCTTAACTGAAAAGCTGAAACCCTAGTAGCTGCTGAAGAATAATCTAGGTGGGTGGATATATGATTTTGAAAAAAGCTAAACAATCTCCAGGGCTGTGAAACAGGAAGGGAGAGACCAGGAGCAAGTAAGGTTAGCTTGATTAGTGGAACATCAAGACCATCTGTGAGGGTTGTTGGTTGTGGGAATGTGTGTGGGTGGATGGGTGGTTTGTGAGGATTGTGGTTGGGTGTGAGCTTTGTCGGTGGGGGGGAGAGTGTGTGTGGGCTTTGTGTGTTGGGGGGGGACTGTGTACATGGGTGTGAGAATGTCTGGTCTGAAGGCGTGAGCCAGTGCACTGTGGGGGGGGGAGAATGCCCACACCTCCCCACAACCACCAACAAACCCCACACTCACCCAGCCTGCCTAGTCCAATGGCATGTGGTCTCTGAAAGCCCACCTCCCACTGGCTTTCAGAGAGGCAGCTGCTGGCCGGTAATCATTGTTTTTTCAAGGGGCTCCACAGGCTGGGCAGAATGGCCTGATGGGCTACATCTGGCCTGCAGGCTGTATTTTGCCTGCCCCTGCACTAGCAGCTAAAAGAACACAGAGGAGAGCAGAGTCTGGTGGGCTCCAGGGAGGAGTGGTTTGTGATCAGGAGGCAGACTAGACCCTAAAAAAGCTTGCCGCTAGGAAGGGACCAGGGCTGAAAAGTTTCTCCTTTCCTGGAGAAAAGCAAAAGGTTTTCTTTTGCTCATTTGTTTGTTCAGAGCAAGGATTATTGTTTGTATTAAGAGGACTGACTGATGGGTTCCTGAGGGATTAAAGCCAGCCTACAGAACATCAGGCACACCAACACGCTTACCAAGTGCTCCAGAGATGTCCCTCATTTTTTAAGATTTATTCTTTAAGTGTTTTGGCCATTTTTGAAACATTTATTTGGCTATGTACTTCTGTATCCTCACTGTTTGAAGCACTTCAAAGAACACCTATGCCCATAGCTAAAAAATGTTTGCAATTCTACTTTCTAAAGTTCTAAAGGAATATGACAGGGATTTGGATTCATTAAAGGTCATTAAATATTCACAGGTCATTAAATAGATTACACTAAATTTACAGAAAAGGTTACACAATTTATACAGATTTTCCAAAATTACAAATTTGAATTAGAACACAAAAAAGACTTAAATGTTTTATAATATTCCTATTTTTGAGAAGTGTTCATCTGAGGACGCCTTAGCTTAATTATAGCAGTAAACTGCAGTCTCCATTAGAAACTGCGTGGAACAATAAAATAATTGGTAGTGGGGAAGCACGTCCTTGCCAAGGGAACAGTTTTTAAACTTCACATATGAAAATATACATGCACCACAGGTGGAATATAGGTAAGACAAATGGAACTTTGGTTTTGCAGACCCTCTCAGAACAGGTTTTGATTTTGCGAAGACAAGAAGAACTGGGGTGATTGGGATTTGGGCAGTTTTAGCTAAATTTCTAAGAACTCTGGAGGGAGGGAGGGTAAAAGATAAATAATTTGCTTTTGGATTTCCCAAGAAATTTCATTTCACCATTCAGACGTTAGTTCTGCCATACATATTCATGTTGCCTGCCATTTTATTGCTAGAAAGGGGGAAGGGAGGGCTTTGATTTGTTGCATACACAATCTGGCTCTTCATTTGCTGTTATCCATGGGTATAAACCTGAACTTGAAGTTTTTTCTGAATCCCAACCCAAGCCAATTCATTTTTAAGCATTTTACTGACAACACCTTTGACAAAAAAAGAAAGCTCACCTCTTTGGAGTTCTGACTGTGTGTTTTCTTTCTCTCTTCAGGAAGCTCAGCAGTTACAACCAGGGAAAAACTCTGGATGAGATCAAACCCTGTTCCTGTTACAGTAATATTTCTCCCGCCACTGAAAAACAAATTAAAACAACAGGAACAAATCATCAGTAAAGTTCTATAACAGCACACCATTACTTCTCATCTATGACTTTTTCACGTATTATTTTGGGCAGCTTTGCCAGTGGGTGTTTGCCCAACAATTAGGTACTCAATATAAGAACTTCCAGCAATGCCAGATCAAAACTGAAAATTTTAAACATGACAGCACCAATTTGAAGCCGAATTTGTTTCTAAACAGTAGTTAAAAATAGTTTGGGAGACTACAGATCCTTTTACTTATTTTTGTAATACATGTTTTCTTTCATTCTGATTTTTCAGGTTTTTTTAAATGTGAAAACCTCCTGATCCCTTTTTGAAGTGCACACAGACTAGAGAGACTGACTGTAGAGTTGGCAAGTCATAGGATGCTGATCCCCTTTGTAACAGCATTACAAAGGAGACACATTAATGTGAGGAAAAGATTAATTATATGCTGAGTAATCACGATTGAGAGGGAGGGTGATGCACAACAAACATATTACAGGAAGATACATTTTGAGGAACAGTGGACATTTGAGAACTCTTTGGGTGAATTCACTACTAATAGGAAACCAAATACAAAATACAGTGAAATGCACACATAAAAATAACCAAAATGATAGATGTTTCCATTTAAATGTCTTAAACCAGGGGTGCTTGATCTCTGGTCCATAGGCCAAATGAAGCAAACGGAGTCTTGGAATCCAGCCCATGGGTCAGGGAATTTGGCAGCAGGGGAGGAATGGTCATTAATACTGTCATCTGCACTCCCCCACCAAATTCCCCACACCCAAGCTGGATCTTGGCCAAGCTCCTCCCACCTCCAACCCCTTTGTTGCTCCACATGACCAGCTGGGTTCTTGCTGCAACTGCTCCAGATGCCAGATTGGGACTACCAGCTGGATCTGACCTGCAGATGGACCAGACACTGCCCATCTAGCCCAGTGGCCACAAAGGTTAGGCACCACTGTCTTAAATGACAATCAATTAGTTATTAGTTTAACTGTTTTACAGATAGGGTTACTTTGTATTTGTATCTGTTCAACCTCTGAAACAGTGACTAGAACGAGGGGTTGAAAAGCACCTTGTTCAAATTCGTGGACGACACTAAGATGTGGGGAAAAGTGGGCACACTAGAGGAGAGTGACAGGCTGCAACCAGATCTGGACAGGTTACAGGGGTGGGCAGATGAGAACAGGATGGGATTCAATACTGACAAGTGCAAGGTATTGCAGCTGGGGAGGAAGAACCAGCAGCATACCTATAGGCTGGGGAACTCCCTTCTCGTCAGCACAGAGGCAGAAAAGGATCCTGGAGTCATTATTGACTCCAAGATGAATATGGGCCACCAATGTGGGGACACGGTCAGAAAGGCTAACCACACCTGGTCATGCATCCACAGATAAATCACGAGCATGTCCAAGGAGGTGATCCTCCCCCCCTATGCAACATTGGTCAGGCCACAGTTGGAGTACTGCATCCAGTTCTGGGCGCTGAACTTCAGGAGGGATGTGGACAGCATTGAGAGGGTCCAGAGGAGGGCCACTTGCATGATCGGGGTCAGCAAGGCAAGCCTTATGAGGGGAGGCTGTAGGACCTGAACCTGTTCAGCCTCCACAAAAGAAGGCTGAAAGGGGATCTGGTATCCCATGATCACCTCTTGGCGAAACTGGCCAACTGCGGCCTTGGGTCCACCACATCCGCTGGCTGGGAAATTGGTTCCGTGGTTGAACTCAGAGGGTGGTAACTGACTTAAGTCAATCATCATGGTGCCCTGTGATGAGTGGGGTCCCTCAAGGCTCTGTTCTTGGACCCATATTGCTCAACATCTTCATTAATGATGTGGACATTGGAGTCAGAAGCAGACTGGCCAAGTTCGCCGATGCCACCAAATGCTAGGCAAAGCATCCACACCAGAAGACAGAAGGGTGATCCAGGCTGACCTGGACAGGCTCAGCAAATGGGTGGACGAGAACCTGATTTAACACTGAAAAATGCAAGGTTCTCCACCTTGGGAGGAAAACCCTGCAGCATCCTTATAGGCTCGACAGTGTTACACTGGCTAGCATCATCGAAGAAAGAAACTTGGGGGTCATCATTGACCACAAGATGAACATGAGCCTTCAGTTTGATGCTGTGGCTAGTAAAGTGAGCAAAACGCTGGCTTGCATCCATAGATGCTTCTCAAGCAAATCCCACGACGTCATTCTCCCTTTGTACTTGGCCTTGGTGAGGCTGCAGCTTGAGTACTGCGTCCAGTTTTGGGCTTCACAATTCAAAAAGGATGTGGAGAAGCTTGAGAGAATCCAGAAAAGAGCCACATGCATGATCAGAGGTCAGGAAAACAGACCTTACGACAACAGGCTGAGAGCCATGGGGCTCTTTAGCTTGGAGAAGCGCAGGCTGAGGGGTGATCTGATGGCCACCTATAAGTTTATCAGAGGTGACCACCAGTATCTGCAGGAACATTTGTTCACCAGAGCGCCCCAAGGGATGATGAGGTCGAACGGTTATAAACTACTGCAAGACCATTTCAGGCTGGACATAAGGAAGAATTTCTTTACTGTCAAGCCCCCATGTTCTGGAATAGCCTGCCATCGGAGGTGGTTCAAGCACCTATATTGAACACCTTCAAGAGAAATTTGGATGCTTATCTTGCTGGGATCCTATGACCCCAGATGACTTCCTGCCCCTCAGGCAGGGGGCTGGACTTGATGATCTTCCGAGGTCCCTTCCAGCCCTAATGTCTATGAAATCTATGGTGGCCATCTATAAATTTGCCAAGGGGGGACCAGCAGGCAATGGGAGTCCCTGTTCCCTCGAGCACTACCGGGAGTAACGAGGAATAATGGCCATAAGTTGATGGAGAGTAGATTTAGGCTAGATATCAGGAGGCACTACTTTATAGTCAGTGAGGCTAGGATCTGGAACTAACTTGCAAGGGAAGTCACGCTCGCTCCTACCCTGGGGGTTTTCAAAAGAAGACTAGATAATCACCTAGCCCGGGTCATTTGACCCCAGCATTCTTTCCTGCCCATGGCAGGGGGTCAGGATGATCTGCTCAGGTTCCTTCTAATCCTACCAACTATGAAACTATGAGGAACCTGGGAACAATTTCCCTGAAGAAATGATAACAGCTTTTACTTTCCAGTTCCTATTAAAATCTTGATCTCAGGCAGTTTCGGGAAGACAGTGGAAGCAACTAAGTTAGTCCTTATCTCTCTGAATATGAAAAATGCCAACACGCCTGCCCCTGGATGGTGAGATGAAGCTATTCAGGAACTCAGACTAGTCAGAATAAAGGTCACAGTCTTTGCCCCCAGAACAAGTCCCAATACTGCTCTCAGTTTCAGGGGACATTTATCCAGGTGAACTCTCACACTGCTACAAATGTCATATAGGAATAACTGGATTATTTTAGGTTGAAAGCAACTGGCATGTTTCTTTATAGAAAGAACTGAAAAACAAAAACAGCCACCACTCTGATTTTAAAATTGGGTGGGAACAAGGAGAAAACTTTCTTAAAATTCTTACTGAAATCCATTTTTTTAAACCAACTACATTTTGCCTTCCTTGAACCAAGATGGCAAGTCATGATTTATTTTCTTTTGTATTTCCACCAGGCTGGCTCTTATTAAATGATAAGCAAGACCTGGTTTGGAAATGGATGGCCAAAGAGACCTTTCTGGCAGTTCTGCATTTTCTGCCGAGTTTATGCAAAGCTTGGGCAGTCTAACATTCCCTTCAATACCTCTCCATTTCTTCCTTTAGGAAAGCTATAGTTGAAAGTAACTCATTTTTTCTGAGTTCAAGATTTAGTTTTAAAACAGAATTTAAATTTTGAAGGTAAACAGAATACCTTAAAACATCAGTAGGTTTAGAAGAAAATGTGCACGCTTTCTGCCCATAGTACAGTAGCTTTCTTTGAAAAAACAGCATGAGTTTTAACTTGATAAGGAATGAACATACTTAAAATGAAAACATTCCTGTTACCTGCTGAAGCTGTTTATTGGAAGAAATTGTTTTATTGTAGGATTTCTGCTATATGTAAACTTCTGATTTTCTATTTCCTTCCCTGTGTGTCCATGCCACACTACAACATGAACGTCTTCATCCTTGTCATGGGGTCCTGTAATGCAGACTATTTGGTCTCCAAATACAATGCTGAAGGTGAGAAAGAAAAGACAAGGACAAAATGTTTCAAGTTACTATTAACACCACCATCACGAACAAATGCTTACTATGGTAGTACTAGGGATCAAACAAAAAAGGGGCCCCATTGTGCTAGGTACTACAGAAACACTGAAGTTATAAACAAGCACTGCCTTACAGAACATAGCATCTAAACAAGAAGGAAATTGGGCAAAGGAGCATAACAGACAAGCAGAGAAACAATGTGATGGGCAACAACCCTCAAGTTAGTTCCATTTTTTTTGAGGGAAAATATAGTTAGGAGAGGATTGGCTAATGGAAAATAAAAGGAAGAGATGGGGAAAGGGGAATAGAGCAAGAAAGAAGGTGAGTGCAGTGTCAAGTTGAGGTACAGAGATTTTGAAGGAAAGGAAGGGAGAAAGATTGGAGTAAACAGCCAGTCAAAACATAGGAGGAAAAAGTCCAATCAAAACTGTAGAAAGTTCTCCGAATAGCAGCAGGTCATCATTCTGCTTGTGCATCCTAACTCTCTCTCAGCTTAGGGCTCTCTTGTTTGCTTAGATGAGCAGGGATTTTATCTTACAATAAGTCTGCTCAATGCCTAGTACACTGGGCACTAATTCTAGTTGATACTGCTGGAAAATAGGTCTATATTATTAAGAGCTGTATACATACACTGTGCAGGGTTCATTATCAAGTAAAACTCTAACGTCTTCCTTGGAACCAGTGTTCAGGTTTATACCAGTGATTGTAAGGCTGGTCCCACCAGCTTGGGGGCCTTTCGTTGGACTTATTCCAGTAGGATTAGGTTCCTGTAAGGGAGAAATGACCAAAAAATGAATTAAACTAATGGTTATATTTTTGTACTTGAGAGCTACCCACACTGCTTGTGATTACGGCCTAAGTTTTTAAGAGGGACCAGTGTCTTAGGTATAATATCTGAAGCACCTAAAGGAGGTCGGATTTGCAGAAACTGCTGTCCCCATCCTCTGAAATTATTAGACCCCATTGAATGTGTCAATTTGAAAATTTTAACCAGCATTAATCTGGATCAGTGGAACCCATAAATAAATACAAAATTAAAACAGTGAACCAAAGAACCAATCTGCTACAACAGACTGTGTATATGTACTGCCCTTCATGAGAAAGTGAGGTGATAAACTGGTCATCATAAGTATTTAACGTTTAAGATTTTCCACTACAACATCAGGCTTTATATGGTTTCAAAGTTCTTAAATTGTGAAGTGCGAACTGCTTACTGTTTAGGTACCTGAAAACTTCTCTTTGGACTTCCTATTTTCAGTTTTAGCCTGTACTACTTCTCCCCTGCTTAGTGCTGAGTCTACAACATCCCTATTTCTACACCAGCTACAAACATTGCAAAGGAATAGGAAAGGGAGAATTCCTCTAACAATGCTTTTAGTCCTGAAAAAAGACTGCAGCCTCTTTCTTCAGTAAATACTTGGGGGAAAAAACAAACACAGCATTCTCTTTTGTATATATGCCTAGAAACTTGAAATAAAAAGTGCTGAAGTTGAAACACAGAAACATATCTAAAGTTGGTAGAATATTAACTGAGCTTAATTTTTCAAATGAATTATGAATTTTTTTCTATTTTCAGTTTGACTCTGTTTTTGTCTATGTACAAATTTGTTCGCTGAACTTTATGCATGCAAGCACCTCTATTCAGGAGAACACCTCCTCACACAGTTCACAAACAAAAATTTCTGCTCATGTATATTTGTAAATAGCAGAAACCTTAAGTTAATTATACTGAATTGCATACTGGCATTTAAATAAGCATGAGCATTCATGTTTTCATTATTCAATCAGATGAAGGTGAACACAGGTAAGTGACACACTGGAAACTGCACAACTTGGTAACTCCTAACTCATGTTTGTGTCCTTAACAGAGACTTCAGAGTATACAGACACACTGATGCAAAGTCATCTTAGATACTCTGCTTAGACGTGAAGAATTCAAAAGGGGAACTATGAACAAATTAAAGCATTGGTGATGACTAAGGGGATTTCATTTTTGGAAACAAAGCTGCCGAAGATGAGGATGACCAACTAGAAAGTTAGATCAACATTATGAAGCAGACTGGTAAAAGACCCAGAAAAACTGGCATTAAAGCAAACTACATATATAACATGAACATTGATATGCTTTGTTGCTTTCACTATTAGTGAAATGGTACTTAGAGAATTCTCCCTCCACAATGGGAGCGAGCCAGTATTCTTATATACTAAAAACTCTTCCGTGACTTTCTTCTTTATAGACTCATTGCTACAAAAGTATGGGCCTGGAAATGGATAAGGGAAATATGGTAAAAATATGAGCTTGGAAAGGGTTAAAAGTTATATTTTGGTCAAAGCAAAATGCAGTTTTGAAGAGATTTGGTAGACCTTATAATTACTTAATGAATTTTATTTTATTTCAGCATTGCCCAAAACAGTTGCCTTGTTGAAACAGATATATTTTGATGTCTGGAAGGATTCTTTTACAATGAATGCAGCAGAGCTCAGTGCAATTCAAAAAACAAACAGTTAAAGTTTTACTTTGATACTGGTGAGTATTATATACAAAGTGTATGCCAAGGGCCTCTCTTTTACTATTAATGAAGTATCAGATTGCTTTTTCTTTCCATGAGAAAGATGCATTAAAAATCCCTCAAAAACCTGCACTGCTTCAGCACTTGATTCCTCTACCTTGCTCTCCCCTACCTTTGGGGCACATTTTAAGTGGAACTAAGTTTTAGCTTAAAAGTATAACTAATTTACTTGAACCTGAACAAAGCCAGGTATGGATACCCTTTATTTTGATTGAAGAGTGATTTATTGTGGCTTAGCTTAGCTCTTCCATGCCTTATGTCAAATAAAGGTAAGTTGCTCTTTAGCTGAAGTAAAGAATTTGGAGAGATTTTGCTAAATTCATATAAAATATCACCTGAAGTTAAACTGGTGCACTCTCTCATGTACAAACTCTTAGTTTCACAAAGGAATTCAGTTTTCTGAAGCTGGATTTTGAATTTGGATTGTTCAAAGCTGTCTTCCTTTATAATGATGCCATACTTACTTATAAAACCCTATGAAGTAAGGACATGATGCCTAGAGAAGTTCAAATGCATAATAGTTGTTAAATTGCCAGGGGAAATCAAGCAATTAATTAATTAATTTATTGTTATTTATAAATTAAGGGTAGCTTTTATTAGAGAGAAAAATGTTTATGGAGAACACAGGTCGAAAGTATTTAACAAAATAAATATAATTGAAAAAATTCAAGTGAAAGTGGCTCAACCAGAGAAGTGCTACAGTACAACTACTTCAACAGGAAAATACGCCAAAGTATTCTCAGACCTCATTTATGGAATAGTGGCACTCCACACAAAATGAATGCATTTCAACATTACTTGAAGGGAAATGAAAAATTATGGTCATCTAAGACACCTTAGGTGCTGTTGGGAGCATAAAGGAGGTGACAGTGCTGCCAAATTTTACAATTTACTTTCTTTACAGCTTTACTTTTGTTTACTAACAGATCTCCACAGGACTATATAAGGATAAATACAATGGGATGGTTGAAGATGAATACTCCATATGAAACTGTAAAAATAATTTTTCAAATACGTAAAATGTAACTGAAAGCTCAGCAGACTCAATAATATGGATGCTTAATTGAGGTAATTAATAAAGAGATGCTGACAGGTACACTTAATCTCTTTGGGTATTCTCAGTATTTTCTTTGAGGTGATCTCATAAGGCAAAATGGTTGTTGTGTAAAGGTGATTACTTGGACTGGGTTTGATGCACCAAACTAGGCATAAAAACAGATGTCTTTGTTTTAGCTTGCTCTTTCCTAACCACGTGAGTCTCTTTTAAATTAATCACCATTTAAAAAAATTCACTAACCACTTTTACAGTAAAATTAAGGCACTCCAAGGAACATTTTTATAACTGTTTTTTTACATGCTTATGTGTGGCTCAAGGAACAGCACTACATCAAGCACAGTCAAGTTGTTTCTTAATGGCTCAATTAAATACAGGTCCTGAAATGCCTTAATGATTTGAAAAAAGGCACGTTTGCAAAATGCAATAATCATGGGCACCAAGAGCAGGAGAAACAACTTTCAAATCTTTTGATGAATGCTGAGATGGTTTCATAGTTTCATAGTTTGTAGGGTCGCAAGGGACCTGAGCAGATCATCGAGTCCGACCCCCTGCCATGGCAGGAAAGAGTACTGGGGTCAAACAACCCCAGCAAGGTGTGCATCTAGCCTTCTCTTAAAGACCCCAGGCTAGGAGCCAGCACCACTTCTCTTGGAAGTTGGTTCCAGATCCTAGCCGCCCTGACAGTGAAGTCGCGCCTCCTGATGTCTAGCCTAAATCTACCCTCTGCCAGCTTGTGACTGTTATTCCTGGTCACTCCTGGTAGTGCTTGGGGGAACAGGGACTCCCCCAATGCCTGCTGGTCCCCTCTGACTAGTTTGTAACAGGCAACTAGATCCCCCCTCAGCTTTCTCTTGTAGAGGCTGAACAGGTTCAGGTCCCGTAGCCTCTCCTCGTAGGGCCTGCCCTGCTGCCCCCTGATCATGCGAGTGGCCCTCCTCTGGACCCTCTCCATGTTGTCCACATCCCTCTTGAAGTGCAGCACCCAGAACTGGACGCAGTACTTCAGCTGCAGCCTGACCAGTGCCGCATAGAGGGGGAGTATCATCTCCTTGGACCTGCTTGAGATGCATCTGTGGATGCATGACAAGGTGCAGTTGGCCTTCCTAACTGCATCCCCAC